GGGGTGTCCCGTGGCCGAGCGTCCAGGAGGCCGGTTCGGTTCTGGAGGGGGACGGAGGAAACAGGAAAGATGAGGATGGAGGGAGGAGGGGGGAGGGAGGAGAGGGCGTGGTAGAATGCCTCGGCTTTTGGCCCGTCTGAGGCTTTGTGTGGGCCCCGAGACCCCGAGGGGGGGAGTCGTATCCGACGAGGGCCCCCCCCCGGGACCCACCCCCGGCAGGGAAGGGATCGAAGAGAAGGGGCTTCCCTTCGACTCCATGACAACGTTGCTCTTGAGGGGGAGTCCCTGGGAACGCGGGGGGGGCGGAAAGGGGAGGAGGGGAGACGGGCCCAGGGAAAGGGGGAGCGCAGGGACAGGAGACGACGGAGACGACGATGAACGAAAGATGGGAACGGACAAGCCCCTCACGCACGCCGACACAGGGTCGGCGGATTTTGGTCGGCGGTCCATGACACGTCCCAGTAGGTCGATTTCGAGGCAGAGGACGAGGGAGGAGGAGCTGGAGGAGAAGGGGTTCTCTGCAGATTTCTGGGGGAGCGAGGAGAAGAGGAATGAGAAATGGAGGAGGTTTTCGAGGTTTTCAAAAGCTGACACTATTTCTCTTCATGATTCTCCGCATGGCCCCCTGTTTCGTCAAGGTATCCTGCAGGTTTCCGGAGGCCGGGAGGTGGGGGGAGGAAGGGAGGGAGGGAGGCATGAGAAGGTTGAGGCGGTTTTCGCACGATGTCCGATGTTCTGTTGAGTTCTCTCACGTGTTCTTGCGTCCTCGAAGGTTTCCCAACGGTATCAGAGGGTCCAGGCCTCCCAGACGGGATCGGAGTATATGGAGTCAGAGGATCGCGCCGCATCGCCGATGCATCGGCGATGCGGTTCGATGCGGAGCCCGACGTCGCCGATGCATCGCTGGCGTCCCCGTCGCCGATGCATCGCCGATGCATCGCTGGCGTCGCCGATGCATCGCCGATGTTCCTGTGATGTATCGGCGACGCGGTGTGGTTTCCGACCCCGCGCACCCCGACCCCATTTGGGAGTCCTCGCGCGGAGGCTGGCTGACGGGCGAGAAGGAGCTGGGGCGGTGGCTAGATCGACACCCAGGGAGGTAGGCAAGGCTAGCCGTGCTTTGTTCGATGCAGATAACATGGCATAGGCTTGGCATCGCATCGCTTGGCGAGGACCAACGAGCCCAATAGAAACACCCACGAAGCCGAAACATGCACGGGGAAAGGACGTGCGAGCGATGGCAAGTGGGCAGGAGCCCCTGGGCCACAGGAGCCGGCCGATCCCTACCGCGGGGCCGGGAGGGCCGCGCCGCCATGGGGCTGGACATCGTGAAGAAGCTGCGCGGGGAGGCGGAGCGGCGGCGCAAGGCCGGGGCGCCCGAGAGGGCCCAGCCCAAGCACGCGCCGGCGCACGGCCTCTTCGTGAGCCAGAGCTCGGAGGCGACCACGGGGGCGAACAGCCCAGGGGAGGACACTACACGCATTCGCCCGGCAGCCTCGCCGGAGGCATGGACCATGGGCGCCCCTGGACACATCCGTTCCAGAACGCTCTCAGAGCGTTGCGGAACGCTCTGAGACGGTCGCGGCGCCCGAGGCATCTTCCAGATCCGCCGGATCTCAGAGATTCTGGATTCTCATCCTGGCTTCGTTTTGGTACATGTATTGCTCCCCCCTGGGCTATTCGGCCCCACCGTTGCCTCCGAGGAACCGGCTACACGTACGAGTGACCTTTCGTTGGAGTGACCTTTGGTGTTCGCCATGGGGGGAGCGGGTCCTGATGGAAACGGGTCCTGAGGTTGTTCGCCGTGTGCGGGCTTTGGGGGCTGTTAACGGGCCAAAGGATTATCAGAAAACGAATCAGGATGAAGAACTCGTCCTGGGGGAAGGCCCCAGGGTCCACGACCCGTTTCCCGCAGGACCCGTTTCCCCCTGTGCTAAGGTGTGGGCGTTTTGGGGTCCCCAGGTGATTGGGCACGACGCGATGGCAGCGTCGCGCGCGCCCGGGGTTGGCCTCCCGACGGTCACCGAAGGTCACGCTTCTGCCTTTAGGGTCACTCTTGCGCGTAGCCGAGCAAGAACTGGAGCAGCCTTCTGGAGCACAGGGGAGGTCGAGGTTCGAGATCTAAGGCTTTCGGGCGCGTTCGTAGGCTCTCGGCCGCTTTCCAACCTCGGGAAGCGCTCTGGCAGCCGCGCATTGTCGGGAGAGTTCCGCGGGGGCCCGGATCTTCTGGAACCGCTGCTGGAGGCCAAAGTGATGACCCGAAAGCCAGACGAACGACGAAAGTCAAGAGGAAGGCGAGATGAGACGATGGCAGCTGGCCTTGGAAGGGGGGCCCTCGTCACCACGGTTGCGCGCTGTTTGGAAAATTGCTTAAGGACGAGAGAAACATCGGAGTCGACTGCGCCGACATTCGCGCGTAAGTTTCCCGCGCGAGGTCGCGCGTGAGCGCCCCTTCCATGCGCGGTTAGCCGCGCTGGCTGCCCGCGCGAGCCACCGCGTACAGCCGCTATGCCTTATCGCGAAGGACCCGCTGATTTTCGTCGCTTGGTTGGTAGTTGGCCTTAGGAGGGTCCCCTCGTCGCCACGAGCTCGACGCAGCTCGGAGAGCTGGTGAGTCTGAACCCCGTGGAGGGGTCGAGGACCGATTTTGAGCTGCCGTTGTCTCAGTGCGCCCACCGAGGAGCGGAAGCCCTCGGTGGCCCCGAGGGCGGCCGCGGCCGAGGACGCGGCGGGCCTGGGCTCCAACGGCGGCGCCGCCCCGAACGTGGTGGCCGTCGACTGCGAGATGGTGGGCGTGGGCGCGCTCGGGCTGCAACTCCTCAGTACGGTTCAGGTTCACCGACCCCAATCCCCATCCCTATTCAAGCAGTGGCGAAGCGTCTTGGCTCGCCTATAGGTGCACCGAAGAATGTTCTAAGAACGTTCTGTGGTGTGCACGAAGTGTTCTTAGAACCTTTCTGGCTGAGACCGTCTTGTTTGAATGCACCGGGTTTGTTAGAACATTCTGTGGTTCTAAAAACATGTCGTTGTAGGCCTATAGGAATGCCGGGACGGTCGGTTCCTGATCAACCTATCCCCATCCAGACCCCCGCCCCCCCACCACCCCGTTGGGAATATGCCCCTCGAGGCCCAGAGGGGAAAGGTTATAGTATATCCTCAGCTGGGGGAGCAAATCGGCCAGTGGGGCCCAGGCCACGCCGATGGGGATATGGGTCGGTTAAGCGATTCTCAGCTCCTGGGATGTTGAATTCAGCATCGGCGCTCGGACATCTGCGGCCAGAAAGCCGTCCTGTCGTGGGCCACTCCAGCCCGATATGGCAGAGTCCGACCGGATACTGGGCTTGGTATTGGGCCCAATCTGGTCTGACTGTAATGGCCTCCGGCCAGTGCCGCCGATCAGGGGTGCTTCGGATTCGGTGATCTTCAGCTTTTGCTGAAGCTCCTTGTAGCTCATATGTCGGATTGGCGGATTTGGCCCAGTGGTTTCGCAATCAGGCCCACGAGCCTTTAAAATCAGCCGTTCCCCGCGAAGGCCTCCCCAGGACCCCAGGAGTTGCCTCGCCAGGTGCGGGTGGCACGCGCTCGGTGCTGGCGCGCGTGAGCGTGGTGGACTACGAGGGAGCCGTGCTGCTGGACCGCTTCGTCCTGCCACAGGAGCGCATCACGGACTACAGGTCCCACATCACCGGCATCACCGCCGCGACGCTCCGGGGCAAGAATGTGCTCAGCGAGGCCGCTGCGCGGCAGAAGACCGCGGAGGTCCTGGAGGGCAAGGTCTCGGGCGAAGAGAACTATGCACATGCACCGATCCTGGCAAGGCCCATTTTTGACCCAGGATCGGTGCATATGCCTTCCTGGCCAAGGTAGGAGGGCGTATGCACCGATCCTGGGCTCAGGATGGGCCTGGCCAGAATCGGTGCATGTGCATAGTTCTTTTCCCTCTAAGGTCGTGGTGGGCCACTCGCTGCAGAACGACTTCCAGGCGCTGATGCTGTCGCACCCGCACGAGCACATTCGCGACACGGCCCTGTTCCGGCCGCTGCGGCCACCTGGCCGCGAGAACCGAACGCCGTCGCTGGCTGGGCTGGTGGAGCACTGGTTCCGCGAGAAGATCCACTCGGGGCAGCACGACTCCGTCGAGGACGCCCGCATGGCGCTGCGCCTCTACAGGCTGAAGAGCCGCGCAGGTGGGGAGCCAGGGAGCGGCACGAGCACAGTCTCTCTCACCACCCACCAACCCACCCCAACCCAACCCGAAGGCTCAGATTTACCCTCGATTTCCAGTGGGGGGGGGTCGGGAAACATTGAAAAAACACATGAGGAACCCTTACCCCCCCCAACCCGAAATTCGGGTCTTCGGGTTGGGTTGGGGTGGTCTGGTAGGCAGTCACTCTCGGGATGTGTGCGCGGATCTCTCGGGTTGGCGACGGAGCCCTCGCTTCCCCGCACCGCTGTTCCCCCAGCGCGCCTGCGTGGTCCTTCATGGGAGGCTCGGAGGGTCCCAACATTCCTTTCGGGTTGGGGGATTTCGCCCAGCGTTGATCGACATTTGGACGAGATCTAGACGACATCTGGACGAAAGGGTGAAGAGGATGGTCGAAATCTGGGCGAAACCCTGTCGAAATCACGTTTATGATGCAGCCGCGGAGGTCCACAGAGGCGCCCAAGATCGGACGGGGCAAGGACGAAGATACGTCCGTTCCGGAGCGTTCCGGAACTCTATGAGAAGGCCGCGGCGTCCGAGACATCATCCAGAGCCGCCGGATCTCAGAGATCCCCAGTTTCTCCCCACCCGCTGTTATCCTCGCCCCGGCTTCGTCTTACATGAAGGTTCACGCGGGTGCGGCACGCGACGGAGGGGCGCCGCGATCGAGGCGCCGCCAGAGGTGCGGGGAGGGCGGGAGCTCCGCCGACCCGAGGAGTTCACCTCAGGGGCAACGCTGGAGGGCGATCGGCCCAGAGGGGGCTGCGTCGATAGGCTCGGGGGAGGATGGGCCTCAGGGAGGATGGGCTCTCATGGAGATAGGCGACGGGGGGGATGCACAAGGATGGGCAACAGGATCAGCGCAGGTGGGGATAGGCTCGCGGGGGGCAACAGGTGGATAGGCAACACGGGGATGCCCTGGGGCAACGACGGGGGGGGCGACAGGCTCAAGGTTGCAGGTTTTTGGGCGTCTTCGTCGATTCGCCGCGATTTCCCAGCCTCGGGGATGCCTTCAGCAGCTGCGCCCCGCCGAGGGCGCTTCGGGGGGGGGGGGAGCCCGGATCGCCCCGAACGGCCGCCGGAGGGCCGAGGGCTCGAGCCATGGCCCGGACACTGCCAGGGGAGGGGCGCATCGACCCCCTAGCTCCCATCGGTCGCCGATAGGGGCCCGGGAGCGTGCGGATTCACTACTGGGGGCCTATCGTCGGGGGGGGTGGACAGAACCCCCAGCAGTGACACGTCGATTAGTGAATTGTCCGTTTTCGGTTCTCGAGGGCGCCGTGGCCGTTATTTTCCAGGCTTTCGCCCGCCAGGTTTTGGCCTCAGGTCGTTTTCACTAAACCACGTTTTACTAAAGGGGGGTCTGTCCATCCCCGATATCGCGAAAGTATCGGCGACGCACCGCCAGCTCCGGCTCGGTGTCCCCCCCCCCCCCTGAGCCAGTCCTCCGGCCGGTTGTCGGGTCACACTTTTCTGGCCTTCGGCGGCCGTTCAGCACGATCCGGGAACCCGCCGCGGCTGGAAGGCGGAGGAGGAGGAGGAGGAGGAGGAGGAGGAAGAGGAGGAGGAGGAGGAGGAGGGGGAGGAGGAGGAGGAGGAGGAGGAGGAGGAGGAGGAGGCCCAAGACATGCCCGCAGCCGCTGGAAGGCGTCCCGAGGCTGGAAAGCCGCCGCGAGCCGACGGCAGCGTCCGCAATCAAAGAAGCCTCGGAGCTGCGTCCCCCCTGTCGTGGACGTTCCCCCTCGCGCGGAGCTCCGGGGGAGAGAGCCCGTGGCCCGGTGCCGCCCGCCGCGGCTCCCTGGCGTGGGAGAAGCAGATGCGGAGCGCCATGCGGAGACACCCCGCCGCCCTCCCGGAGCAGGGTGGCGACGGAGATCGGGCGACGATCTGCACAGAAGTGTTGTTTTTTACAGTCGGACCGAGGTATCAGATCGAGGTCGGTTCGGGGAGGGTATCCAAACATTTTTCGTGTGTGTGTGTGTGTGTGTTGGATGTTCTTGTGCATCCTGGGGAGGGTACCCTTGCATGTTCCGTGCGTGTTGGCCGGCGAAGGGTCTCATGCTCTTGAGGGGGATGTTCTTCTGGCCTGGGCCCGACGGCATTCCTGGGCGACAGCGGGCGTTCCTGTGGGGGTGGCGGGAGGGGCTGGTAACGTCACGTTTCGCGCCGGCGCCGTTTGGGAATGTTTCGGAGTTGCCAAGTCCAGATCGGGCGTCAGGACGAATCGTGATTTTTCCTTCCTTTGGGAGGGGGCCGCTATCGCAAAAACTGAAAAACTATTCATGCTTACCAACATGCATACACCGCACTTGTCCAGCCCCATCTCGTGCCCATGGCCCAGGGCCGGTGCATACGCCTTCCCGGCTTGGCCAGAGAGGCACATGCCCAGACGTCCGACGGTGTGCTTTTTCAGTGTGCGACCCCGGACGTCCGACCCTTCCTGGTTTACTCGTCTCAGGCCCGTTTTTGATGGCCCCGTGGCCCAATAACAGACCCCAGCGGCCGGATGGAACAAACGTCGAACCGTCAGAGATTTGGGTAATTACAGTGGCTCTGGGCCCAGGACGGGCCTGGCTAGGGGCGGGAAACATGTGCGTACGGTAGATTCGCGTCGTGTCGACTGGCGGCGACCCCGCCGCTGGTTGCCAACGTTGTACGCCGCCGGCGACCGGCGACCCAGAATCGGTCGATTGTGGACTTGACATTTCGGAAACGTGCGATCGTTCAAGGCTGGACCATCCCCGCGGTGCCGGAAGCCAGCGCCGAAGTCAGCACGGCACGAGTTTGCCGAAGACAGCGATCGGCGAACATGATAATTTGTGTAGTCTAGACTTTCGGGGCGCTCGTGAACCACTTAGGTCGGACTTACTCCGGATGAGTGAGTCATAAGATGGTTGAATGTACATCTTACCAAATTTATTGAATCGCTTCGCTCATTCGGCCGGCCCGTATTGTGCCATCTTTGGCGTTTGCGTGCGCGTTCGTGGGCCATGCGACGCTGCTGGCCGGTGCTGCTGGGGTTGTGGGTGAGAGTCCTGATGGATGTTTCTTGGTGTCTCTTCGGAGGGTTCTCGAGGGTCTCCTGTGCAGCAGTTTTAGGGGCTCTTGGAAGCCTCTTGGGGGCGCCTTGGATGCCTCTGAGGGCTCTCTTGGCGCCTCTTGAGGACCTCTTGGACCCTCTTCGGGGGCTCTCGGGGGCTGCTTCTTGGGGCCGAGGGCTCGAAAAGCCGGTTCGGCTCCCTCCTTCTGGGCCCCCTCTTGGGACCGTCCTGGGGCTCACTCTGTCTGTCTTGGAGGCATCTGGGGCCGTCTCGGGGTCCTTCTTGGGCCGTCTTAGAGCGTCGGCGGCCGAAAAGGTGAGAACACTGAAAACCTTCAAAACACATCGAAAATCGTTTAATTGTGCCTCGAGGGGGTTCTTGGGAGTGGTCTTGGAGGCATCTTCGGACGTCTTGGAGGCGGTTGAAGCCGTCTGGAGGCTATCTTGGGCATCTTAGACCGCCTTAGGGCCTCTTGAGACGCTCTGGAAGGCCCTGAGGGCAGCCCCCAGTACTTCTGGCATCTGTGACGGGGACCGCCAGGGATTTGCAAGGGTGTTTTTCGTCCGCGGACCCCCAGGGGCAGCCACGCGCGCGCGCGCGAGTTAGAAGTGTTCTAAAGTTACAGTTATTACTGGAGATTTTAGCACGCCTTTGGCCCGTTGGGCCACCGAGAAAGTGAGCGATCTCTTACAAACCGCCATGACCCGCCCAGAAGACCTCGCCGCCCCGTGAGGAGAGGACGGGAGACCTTTCAAGGCTGGACCACCCCCGCGGTGACGGAAAAAATCCGGGCGGCACGTCGGTTCTTGCAGTCGTGAGATACCAAGCCATGGTTTCCCAGCCAGGAGAACTCTCAAAACCCTGCGATCGCTTCCGTGTAGAAAGACTCTGATGCTTGCCCACTGCGCCAGCGCACGCTGGGTGGCCAAATGCCTCCCAGCCAGCGCCGCAGTCGGCATGGCACGAGCCTGCCAGAGACCTCGCCGCCCCGTGAGGAGAGGACGAGGGCGAGCGCCTGGAGCGCGCCCCCGAGGAGGCGGCCACGCCGCGGCCGGCCCGGCGCCGGCGCGGGACGGCCGGCGGCGATGCCGCCGGCGAGGCCGGCGGCGGCGTGGCCGCCGCGGCCGGCGTGGCGAGGAGCGGCGGCGAGTTCGAGCCCCGCCCTCGCCGATCCCCGACTCGAGCAACCCGGTGGGCGGCGGAGAGTGGGGTTCGTTCGGCAGCATCAGCGTTACCCCAACATGCTAACACGTGTGCGTCGCCCTCCCAGGGGCGACGTGCGCGCCGAGAAGTCTCGTAGTATGCGCTTCGCGGCGGGCGCTTTCTGGCCATGCCGCTAGGGCAACGATACACTACAAGATGGGGTACGTCTAGGCTTCCCAGATGGGGTTGCAGTAGATGGGGTCGGAAGATCGCGACGCATCGCCGATGCATCGGCGATGCGGCTCGATGTGGAACCCGATATCCTCCACGCCGACGGCGTCGACGCATCGCCAACTTCTTTGGTGCATCGCCAATGCATCGCCAATGCATCGCCGATGCATTGCCGATGCATCGGTGATGCGGCGTGATCCTCCGACCCCGTCTCTTCCGACCGCATCTAGGAGGCTTCTAGTTCGCTCGGTAGCAAGTCATGGGAGCCCTGGATCGCCGAGCGCGTTCTCCACTGCTTGCAGAGTGCCCGCTCGGAAGCGTCCAGAAAACACATAAGCCTCGGTGTGATGGATCTTGAATCCCCAGCGGCGGATCCATGCCATTTGCATACCCCCGTAGTCCCGTAGTGGACAGCGCTTGTCTATTGTATACCCCCGTAGTTCCGTCTTCAGAGTGCACCAGCGTCGATTGGCGTCTGGTGATCGGTGAGACGGCGCCGATTACGCGACGACGAGCCTCGATTCGTAAGAGCCAGCAGGATGTTATGAGAGGCTCCCGTGAGTTGCAGCAGACGTTTCGGAATTCGTCGAGCGCGCTGCGAGATCCGAAGCTTCAGGAGAAGCCATGGCTCGAATAGGGGATCGTCTACAGCATTGTTTCACCCCAAAATTGCTTGTCACGTCGAATCCACAACAACAATTCGTATAATGTTCAGATCAACGAACATTATACGCATTTCTTGTACACTCGACGAGCAAATGAATTTCGAGGCAACTCAATTCTGTACACGATCCCCTACTCGAATGGTTGGCGGGGGTAGGGATCGGATGTCGCCACCCGGAGGAATCCGGGCAAGAAGAAGCGGGCGCGGGAGGCAAAGCAGGCGCCGGGACGGGGCAATTCGGCGGTGCGCCCCTGGGGGACAGGCAGAGGGGGCGGGCCTTCCGGGCCTTCTCGGAAGGCTAGTTGGGCCGCTGGCCTTCAGGAATCGAATAGGGGATCGATTACAGAATTGATTTCCCCCCAAATTGATGTTGCCGTCGAATCTGTGAAAAATGTACGTAGAACAACATTATGCGTCTTTTCCGCAGGTTCGGCGGAAGAATCAGTTTTGGGGTAAGTCAATTATGTAGTCGATTCCTGACTCGAATGGAAGTTCTCTGAGCCTGCTCCGGAGCCAGAGAGGGCTTCTCAGAAGGCTGGAGGGCTTCTGAGGAGCGACAGGAGGGCCGAAGTGGTCATGGATCAGGGGCGACAAGATCGGGGGCGTCCAAGATTGGGTTGATGACTAGGGGGGGTCATCATGGCCCGGGCCATGGTATCTCCCAGATGTCATGCACCCATCATCATCTTTGAAGACATCCCTTGCCCCCCCCCAGAGGTCCGCGCACATGCCTCGGGCCATATGCGCACCCCTCATTGTTTCTGGCCCGATGGCCCGCGAGCTTGTCCCCCCTTCCAGGTCGATGATTGCACCCCGAGCTTGTCCCCCCCGATCGTCCCTCCTCGACGAAGACTGCTGGCGCTTTCTAGCGTTACGGGCTCTTTGAGTTTTGTTATGCCTCTGGGTGCGTTCCAGCAGCTGCTCCTCGCCGAGACTGTGCCGTGGGTGCCCGAAACGTCGCGAGATGCCGCCACAGACCCGAGTTGCGTCATGGACTGAAATCCCCTGACGTCGTTGTGGGAAACCATCGTATCTGGAGGACCGCAGTAAGGACGGAAAGAAAGTGGATGAGGACCCATCCCGAACAGGGCTCGTTGTCGATCGCGGCCGCGGTGTCGCCCACTTGGGGCAAATGGCGCCCGCCCAACAGCGGCCGGTGTTGGCTTGGGCAACATATCATCGCCCCACATGCTCAGGACGAGCTACCGATCGTAGGTTAGAGCCCGGATAGTCTTGGGAAGAAAGTAGGTATTGAAAAACATGAGGCGCGAGAACACGAGGTAAGTGGAGCGTAGGTGTTAGATAACCCCGAAGCGATCAAGGACCAATAGACCCATGCGCACTGTGGCGTCCATGAGTTCATTGCGCCGCGTCATTACAACCCGTCCCGACGCAGCCGTGATTCGAGGTCGGGACAGCATCTGTCACGCGCTGACATATAGCAACCATACCTCTGCGACCCATAGATTTCTCGGGGTGTAATTCAGTGGGGGCCGCGGGAGTGTGTTGTCGACGGGTGTCCCCGCTCGAACTGGACCCCCTCGTGGTGCGACAACCTGCACCCAGACCTGCAGCGCACTCGTCCCCATTGCCCTTCCCCACCCCTCCTACCTGGAGGCGTGAGTGTGTGTTGCTTGTTCCGTTCTTTGCTGCTGGGCACCGTCCCCGCTCTTCCCGTCCCCATTCCCGGGCGCGCGCCACAGGCGAAGATGCAGCCCGCCAGCGGCGCCGCGGGGCGAGGGCGGAAGAAGAAGAGGCGGCCGGACGCGCAGGAGCTGTAGGTGCCGCCGCGGCCCCTCTGCGCGGGCTGGCGGTGTCGCGAGCCGAAGGGCCCTTCCTCCTGGAGCCAGCTGCTGGCGCGGACTATTGCTGGCGGGCACGGGCTGTGCAAGTAGCGTGTTTTTTTGCGTTTGACAGGATGCAGGAGGGGAAAAAACACACAGACACAATTATTCGTCGATTCCCAGAAAATATTGGAAAATATGGGAAGTGGGGGGGAAGACGAAAACCCAGAAAATATGGGAAAATATGGGGAATGTTTTTATTTGTGTATTTATTTGTGTGTCCTGGGGCCCCTTCAAGGATGCACGATTGCATCCACGCGCAATCATTGCGTCCAGACCGCAAACTACTGCATCCATGCCAAAACTGTGACATGTACTACTGCATCCATTCCAGCCGCCCATCCGTGCTAGCCCCACTACTCCGGCTTCAACTGAGGGGGCTGAGGTGACCCAGCACTGGTTCTGGCCAGAAGACGGGGAGGGAAAAGGAGGAGCCCTCGTCGCCGCGACTACACGCGGCTCGAACAATAGTTTCGACCCTGAGAGGGGTCCCGGGAACGGGTTTGCCCTCGTCTCCGTTTTTTGACTGATTTTCTCGGGGCCAGCGCAGACCCCTGGGCCGCTTCCAACTTCATCGGTGGAGTCGTCTTCCCCCCCTAGCGTCGATCCCATCAACCGAGCCGTCCCGGGGTGGGTTGCTTGCGTATTGGGCCTTCTCGGCATGCCATCCGATCATTATCGACGCGATCTTGTCGTGGGGGTTGTGGTCAGCGGGGGCGTCCAAGAGGTGGGTGAGAACCAGGGGGGGCATCATGGCCAGGGCCATGAAATCGCCCAGACTTCACGGCCACCTGAGCGACGAAAGAAAACGGGGTCGCCTGTGCCGACATTGGCGCGTAAGCTGCCCGCGTAAGGTCGCGCGTAAGCGCCCCCGTCTCCAATGTGGCGTGCCGCGCCGGCGGCCCGCATCTGCCACCGCGTAAGGTCGCTACGTCATCTCGCGTAAGACTCGTTTTTCATCGTCGCTCACCTTTCTCCTTTCAGTCGCCCCCCCCTCGCCCCCGAGATTAAGGCCGATCCAAACCACATTGGGACGGATTGCAACCACTGGAATGAAATTGATCCCAACGTGTAGGCAGTAACCCGACAAGGCGAATGCCGGATGGTCATTGTCGGCCACGCGCAGGGGGGAAGGTTTCTTAGAAGCTCTCTTGCTTCTTGGAGGGTGCGGGCTTTGTCTATAGGTGCAAGGCCGTCGCCTTCCAAGGATTGCAACAAAAACCGAAGGGTTTTTTCTGCAATCCTTCGTTCAAGGGTTTTTTTTTGCAATCCTTCGTTCAAGGGTTTTTTTTGCAATCCTGGGTTTTTGTTGCAATCCTGTTTTTTTTGCAATCCTGGGTTTTTTTTGCAATCCTTCGTTCAAGTGAGGGCGGGGGGGCACGATTTGTTGCCCCTCCCGGCGGCAGAAGCAGCAGCCCCCTCCTGAGAAGCCTTCCCCCCTCCCCCTGCCCCTGCCCCTTTGCGCGCGCCGCCACTACGGAGGCTTCCGATGCCTCGGGCCATGACGTGCCGATCGCCCCTGCTCGAAGGATTGCAAAAAAAACAAGGATTGCAAAACAAACAAAAAAACACCCTTCGTTTTTTTGTGCAATCCTTCGTTTTTTTGCAATCCTTTGTTTTTTTTGCGCTCCTTGCCCCCCTCACCGGCTCCACCCGAGGCCAGGGCGTGCCTCAGCCGCTCCATGCCTCAGGGGCAACGCTAGGGTGGATAGGGAGGCTCAGGGGGGGGGGGACGCATCGACCCAAAGTCGCCCACTGATCGCCGACGCAGTCGAAGCGCTCTCATAAGGAACGACGTCCCTTCCCCCATGGGGTCAACTTCGATGTCCCATACAAGACCGGAGGAAAACGTAAGACTGTAAAATAATTGCAGTGCCGTTTTTAATACATGCTCCGCGTGCGGATCATGTATTAAAATGCAGGGATTCAGTACTAAAAAACAACGATGAGTTATTTCAAAAATTGATGCATAAATTCGTCATGTATTGAACATCACATATGGTTTAAAATCCTATGTATTAAAAATTGCCCTGGAAGGAACACTGAACCCCTCCCCAACGAGAAGGGTTCCTTCTTAGCAGCCCGACTGTATGGGACCCGACAGCCCGCCCCGCTTGGCAAAGTGCGGATTTGCTGTCGGGGGCCTATCGCCAATCGATCAGCAATGTATCGCCGATTCGGGGGGGATGTTTCTCCCGCTGCGCTGGTCCCCCAAAACTCAGCCACGCGCAGAGGGGCGTGGATGGAGGAGGGAAGGCTTCTTAGAAGCACCCCTGTATCTTGGAAGGCGCGGGCCTTCTCTGCAGATGCTAGGCAGGCGCCTTCCAAGAAGCAGCCTCCTGCTAAGAAGCCTTCCCGATTCGGTTCCACGTCGCTGAGGAGGCCGTATGGGTCCCCACCACCTTTTCATTTTTTGCCGCTAGGTCTAGACCAGCCCAAAGTGATGACGCTACGCGTATCCCCACCAGCCACCTGCCGACGCTGTCTTGCGTCTCAATGAGGGGCATTTTGTCCCTGGCATGTGCATACGCCACTGCGGCCAATTTACATCGTACCGCGCCCCGGACGTTGTGCCCGCTCCTTGTCCCTCGCCGTGGAGCCGCGAGCCAAAAAGTATCCCCACCAGCCCATCCAGAAACAACGCCCAGAGGAGTTGAGGTGACCAGGGAAGTGGGGGAGCATGCAGAAGCACAAAGGGCGGGCAACCCCATGCGTCGGCCTCAACCCTTCCCTCCCGGAGGTTCTCAAGGAACCTGACCATTGTGGGCACGCCCTACAGTTGGCGTATGTGGTTGAGTCTGGGTTCCCTGTTTTGTTCTGTTTCCGCGGCGGAAAATTTGGGACCCAGAAGGATTTGAAGCTCAGGTCGAAGTGTGAGCCTAGCAACAAGTGTAAGGAGAAGCGTGCCCTGCTGGCAGGCAGGCTCCCTTCTACCTCTTGCCGAATCCCGTCCATCCAACAGGTCAGCGGGTCCGCGTTGGGGGAGTTTTGTTCGAGATTGTAGTCTGGGCCAGGCCCCAGGTGTAGTTGCACGTGGTGTGACTACGCCTCTAGGTACCCACAGTACCCACAAAGGGCGGGGGAAGCCATCCGATACCCCAAGAGGGGGAGGATGGTGGAGGAGAAGAAGGAGGAGGAGGAGGAGGGTGAAGAGGAGGAAGGAGGACGAAACACTGGACAAGTAGGAGGAGGAGGAGGATTGTGCTAGGATTGTGCTACTTAGGACTTACGCAGATGGAGAGCACTACGCAAGCCGCCTTCGCCGTGCAAGTTTAGACTTACAAGGGCTTCCCTATGGATGGATGGCGGCCCTCCCACAAACGCATCAGTCGACCCTTGGCCGTCCGAGCTCGGGCGGGCCTATAGCCCTCCTTCACAAGGTTCGTCCACTTACACTGAGCGTAGGAAAAGCATCGCCTGCAGAAAACAAAATCGGGGCACAACACGAGGTGGTGTCGTTGCCCCTGTGCCTTAAGGAGGAGGAGGAGGAGGAGGAGGAGGAGGGGCATCTTGTCGAACCCAGGGCCGTCTTTGAGCGTCTTGGGTGTTTCGGGGAGCCTCTTGAAGCCTCTGGGGGGTCTCTTGGGAGTCTTTTGGAAGCATATTGGGCGCCTCTTTGGGCCCTTTTGGGGCCCTCTTGGGATCTTCAGGGGCGCTCTTGGGGCCATCTTGGAGGACATCGATCAAAAACCAAGGGAGCGCCCTGTTTCCTCGATGTTCTGGAGTGCCCCCCCCCCACACTCGAACTCGACGAGCCCAACGGCGATTTCGGGCTGTGTGTGGGGGGGGAACTAGTCAGTCAGGAGCTGCGGGGCCGCGCACCCACAAACATCACGTCCTCGAGTGTCCGGGGACGACATCTGCAAGACGTGGAACTAGAGAGCGAGTGAGGAGGACGAGCGTGAGGAGCGGCGGCGAGCTCAGGGGGGAGTCGGGGGGGGCGGGCCTTTCGGAAGGCTCGTTTCGGCCTTCTGAGAGGTTGTTCAAAGCCTACTCCGAAGGCGCAGACAACTTTTCAGAAGACCAGAAGGCTTCTGAGAAGCCCCGCCGCTTCCTGCGAAGTCTCGCTCCCCCGTGGGCTCGCCGCAGGGAGGAGCAAGTGAGTTGCGGCGTGCGCATACTCCACTCTGTCCGTCCAGTGTTTTGTCATAATTATCTCTCTCTCTCTCTCTCTCGCTCACGTTCACCATGCTTCTACCACTTTTCGTTCCCTGTGGGCGCTCTGCCCCCTTTGCTCCTTATACTCTCTACTATACGGGATCCTGCTGTTTCTGCTCATGCCGCTGGTCTCTCTCTGCTCCCCCCACATGCTCCGTGCACATTCAGCACCGACCGCCGATCCCAGCCAGGGGCCCAGGATTGGCCTAGGAAAGCCCCGTGTTGGCGCACAGACGGCGCCCTCCTATTCCTTTTCACTCCGCTCTTCGGTGTTCTCCGTCCCCTGGTCACTCGCCAGTCGCTCCCGTCGTCGTCTGCCCTAACATCCACTCGACACCAGCCCCGGCCCCCTCCCGACCCGCTTTGAGAGACGCCTCCAGCCGTGGCGAGGAGGGGGCCCTGCCTTCACTCCAAAAGGTGCCGCCATCGTCCGTCGCAGTCGCCGTCGTCAGACGTCGTCGTCAGTCGTCAGTCGTCGTCCTCGTCCTCGTCCGTCGTCGTCGTCGTCGTTTCCGTCGTCGTCAGTCGTCAGTCGTCAGTCGTCAGTCGTCGTCGTCGTTTTTTTGTCGTCACTCATCGTCGTCGTTTGCGTCGTCGCTCGTCGCCCCCGTCCTCGTCGCCCTCGTCATCGCCCAGGGCCACTGGTGGCCCCCGGGGGGGGCGCGCGGCGCGGCGCGGCGCCGGGCCGCGGCCCATGCTCCTCACGCCCCGTTGGCTCGGCGAGGCGCAGCCGGCGGCGCCGCCGAAGGAGGTCAGCGGGTAAGGGCGGCGGGGGGCAGCAGAGGTCATCGGCGCCGAGCGGTGGAGCGCTGGAGGTTCGGGGTTATTCGAGGTGTTCGAGCGTTGTCGTCGCTTCCCGGAGGTTTTCCAGCCTCGGGGTGCCTTCCAGCGGCTGCGCCTCGCCGAGGGCGTTCCGGGGGTGCCCTGGTCGTCCCGAACGGCCGCCAGAGGCCCGAGTTATGACCCGAAAACCAGATTCGGCGGCGAGCCCAGGGGGGAAGGCAGAGAGGGGGCGAGCCTTCCTCAGAAGGCTCGGAGGTCCCCCGGCCCTCTGAGAAGTTTTCTGAGCTCTCCCGGAAGACACGGGAAAGCTTCTCAGAAGGCGCAAGGGCGTCTGAAAAGTTCTGCCGACTTCTGAGAAGGCTCTCTCCTTCTCACTTCCCACCCTCGCCCGCCGCCAAGGTAAGGTTCAGGGGCAACGACCGGGGGGGGGGACAGTCGAAGAAGGAACGATCGCATCAACAGAAAATTTTCGACCGCCCGCACGGATTTCTTTGGTCGGCGAATTGACCCCCCTGGTGGCGTCTCTGGCGCAGCCCCCCACGCTCTCCTCGCGCCGGGGAGGGGGGTCCAGCGCCGATCCAAGAAATCCGCGCGGTCCTCCGAGAAATAATGCTTATGATTTCTTGCTGCCCAAGATGAGCATACACTGGAGGCGCGCGTGAAGAAACCACATGTTTTTCGCCAGTGCCCTGGGTTTCTTGGATCCGCGCACTGCTCGGTGACTTCAGCAGCCGTTCAGAAGCTGCTGCGTTCAGGGTGCTCGGGGTCCTTCCCGTGTGCACCTCGCGCGCGGGTTTTCAGGGCTGGGTTTCTTGCACGTCTTTTCTTGCAGCCTTGCCCGCACCGTAGGGGCGGACGCATCAACCCCCAATCGTCGACTCATCGCCGATATGGGCCTGATAGCCCCGCCCCGCCAAGGAGCGTGGGGATTTGCCACCGGGGGCCTATCGCCGATCTATTGGCGATGTATCGCCGATGCGAGGTCAACGTTTCCCCCCTGTTCCAGTCCCCCCCTTCTCATTGCCCCGCAAGGGTCGGGCCGGACGAGAGGGGGGCGACAGGGAGAGGGCGGGTTGCGAGATCTGCGGCATGCGGCCGGTCCCGGCCCCGCCGCCGGGTGCCCTCCTCGATGCACTGGTGCCTCCCGCGCCGCGGGGCGCGTGGGAAGCCAGGTGCGTGAACTGATATGCTGAGACCCCTCCCTTACTTCAGAGGCCAGCAACCTATGTACACGTACGCGGTGAGCTTCCCTTGGGGGGCGTTTGAACGAGGACGTTCGTGCATTCAAGACCGCGGAGGGCGTACAAGTACATATGTCGTTGTTCGCTCATTACTACCAGGAAAGCGCAAGACTCGAGTGCGATGGAACTCGGGTTCGCCTAATTAGGCTATTCGACTCGACTAAACGTAAGAGTGACACTTCGCCGGAGTGACCGTTGGTGCGGGCTCATCGGGGTCCCCCCGATCGCTGAGCGCGATGCGATAGCGGCTGCTTGCGCGCTTGGATTTGGCCACATCCCCCTTGGTCTGCGTTCCTAAGGGTAGTCTTGCCTAGAGTCACTCCGACCGACGAGACCATCGTTGATTGTGACGCTCCAGTTTTCGTGAGATGTCTACAGCGGGAGCTCGCGTCAAATTTTTAGAGTGAGTCTCGTCATTTTTCCGACGGCCCCGTGAGGCCAACACGAGTCCCCCTAGCCCGAGTCTTACGTCTCCCCGATGCGAATCCCCCCCTTTCGTCCGATCCGATCAGGCTTCGGGCTGCGCGCAGACGTCAAGGAAGCGCCAACATGGATTAAGGCGCGTGGATTAGCGACGTGTCCCGTTTCCGTACCAAATCGGTCCGACGCCAAATCAGGCGGCAGCGGCGCCATGTTCCAGGGGTTCATTCCCCGATCTATGATTCTGGCGCTCATGCGCTGGGTCCACGGATCTCTAGTGCATGTCAGCGCGTGCCCGAGGACAGCCCCCTCAGGTATTGTAGTGGCCTTCGGCCAGTGCCGCCGATCCGGGGCGCTCCGACTGATGTGATCCTTCTTCGCCCTCGTCCCTCCTCTCTTTTTCCTCCCCTCCTCTCACTCAGCATTTATCCAGTGGCCGTCGGCCTATCCCGCCACCGTGCGTGGGTGGTGGGTCAGAGGCCTCATGGATGCTGGTTGGGATCTCGTGGTTGGCTGGGACTTCTGGGGGCCTCTTGGGCGCCTCTTGGGGCTTCTTGGGGGCCTCTTGGGCCTCTTGGGGCCACTAGAGGGCCTCTTGGGGGTCTCTTGGGAGCCTCTTGGGGCTTCTTGGGGGCCTCTTCTGCGCCCCTTGGGGCCTCTTGGAGGCCTCCTCGGAGCCTCTTGGTGCGGGAGGGGTGGTACTCGAGTTCGGAACCCCCTCGGAGGCCACGATCCTTGTGAGGGGTGTCAAAAAACGCATCCGCCGGAAACTCGCCCCCCCCCCCACCCCACCCCCCCTTCCCCGGCAGAGCCACCCCGGCAACCCCCCCAGAGGCTGAGGCTCAGCCTCGAGGCTGTAGCTGAGACTCCTTGAAACTCACACGCCGGATCGGCGGATTTTTGGCCGGCCTCAACAGGCCTGCGAGTAGTCTGGGGCGGTCCCACCAGCCTGGCGCCGCCTCCGACGTCGCCTCTGGGACGCTCTGCGCCCGGGGATTCGGGTGCTGAGACGACCGCCCTGGGTTTTTCTGGGGGGGACCTGAGGCCAGCCGGGACTACCTGAGGGGCCTGTCTGCGCGCAGCCCGAAGCCGCATCGAGCAGCAGTTGCGGCAGGCCGGTGTCGTGCCCACGCGGCGGCGATCCCAGCGCGGGCGCTCACGTTCGAACGCCGTCGGTGGCCCGGAATCGGCCCGAACGTTCGGAACGTTCTGCGCTTGTCGGAGAGCCACGATCGCTCCAGGCTGCACGATCCACGCGGCGTCAGAAGCCGGCGCCGACGTCGTCACCTCGCCACGGAACAACCCGTGTCATGAGTCTGTCATTCCCAGACAGTGCTTGCACTTCGGGGCCCTAGCACATCTCACAAGGAGGTGGGCGCGTCCGTCGGTCCAGCGGCGACGTTGCCGCCGTCGCCGCCTCGTCGCCGCCCGTTCCTGGGCTTGTCCGTCCGTCTGGCGGCTATGTTGCTGCCGTCGCCGCCTCGACGCCGTCCACTGTTTGGGCCTTTTTGTCTGTCTGGGGGCTGCGTGTGCCGCCGTCGCGGCCCCGTCGCCGCCTCGTCGCCACCCGTACATGGTCCTGTCTGTCAGTCTGGCGGTTATATTGCCGCCGTCGCCGCCCCGGCATCGATCTCACAACACCGGGTGCACCACATAGATTGCACCGCATATTTCCCTCAACATGAACTGCACTACACAGATTGCACCACATAGATTGCACCACATCGCTTGCACCACATGCGTTGCACAGCGCAGATTGCACAACATGGCCCGCACGTAATAGATCGCACAACACATATTGCACAACAACGGTTGCACCACAGATGTTGCACCACAGCACGGCTTCTCCTGTCCAAAATGGAGATAGGTTCTACCAACCTCAACCTCCCCTGCCTGGACTGAACGATTCCCCGGGACCCTGTGCAAAAGCACATGCGATTCTGACCCAATGTCCATCCTACCTGTGATTTCATATTATCCCAGCCAGGCCGGTATCGCCCCCCCCTCGGTTCTTTTGCCCAAGAACGATACGGTGACATGTTTTGTTCGAACGTAGCACTTGTTCACGAATCCCTTGTAAGAGATATCATGCGGGGCACACGCGCGCGGCCGCTGCGCGCGCATGTCGAAATCCTTCCAAACATTGTTTTTTTTACCATTTCAACATCCCGCCTCAAGACAACCTATGAAAGCATACGACTTTCTCACCCAGAAATTCTGAAACATCTGCCCGCGCGCTCTTGCCGAATCCTTGAAAAACCAATGGTTTTTAACATTCCTGTCACATCGGGCTTCCTGGGCAACTGTTGCGCGCACGTCGCTCTCGTTCAACATCGGTCGCGCGCTCGCCAGGGCCACAATCCATTGTAAAAAATACCATGCGGAGCACATGCGCGCGGCCGCCGCGCGCGCAGGTCGAAATCCTTCCAAACACATTCTTCTGGTTTCAACAATTTCAAGACCGAGTTTCATAAAATCGCACGAATCGTACCATACATCCTCGAAACGAATACAACACAAACACAAATTCTACCCCCGCGCGCTTTGCGAGTCATAACAAACCAATGGTTGTTCAACATGTATGTCATGCGAGCAACTTACACGCGCGCGTCGATCGCCTTCAACATCGGTCGTGCGCCTGCCAGGGCCACAGTCCCTTGTCAACAATACAATGCGTGGCACATCCGCGAGGCCGCCGCGCGCATGTCGAAATCCTTCCAAGCACGTTGTGGTTTCAACAATTTCAAGGCCAAGCTTCATGAAATCACACGAATCGTACAATACGTCCTCGATCAAAAAACCTGCGAAATAATAAAAAAGTCTACCCGCGCGCGCTTCCCGAATCTTAAAACACCAAATTGGTTTTTCAATAGTTCGGTCATGCGAACAACTTTTGCGCGCGCGTCGGACTCCTTCAACATCGGTCGCGCGCTCGCCAGGGCCACAATCCCTTGTACAAAACACCATGCGGGGCACATGCGCGCGGCCGCCGCGCGCGGATGCCGGAATCCTTCTCGTCGTCGTCGTCGGCGCCGTCGTCGTCGTCGACGTCGTTGGCGACGTCGCCGTCGTCGTCGTCGTTCCCGTCGTCGTCCTCCCTCCTCCCTCGCCGTCGCCGTCGCCGTCGTCAGCGTCCAGAATCTCTCGACTCACGTCTTGTTCGCCAGAGCTCTCCACCCCCTCGTCGTCGTCCGTCGTCGTCGTTGTCGTCGTCGTCCTCCTCCCTCGTCGCCGTCGTCGTCGTCGCCCTCCCTCGTCGTCGTCGTCGGCGTCGCCGT